TGGCATTAAAACATTATGAATAAGGTAGTTGCTAGGGGCTAAGGAGCTTGGCCAATTTACCTAAAGGTCATAGCTTCTAAGGTCAAAAAGGATACTGAGTGGTTTTGAAGTCTACTAAATATCGACATTAAACGTCGATTTACTCAGACGGGTTTACCATTCAATCCTATTTGCAAACTACACTAGTAAGAGCAATGGGACGATAGTGGGAGGCATCATGTCCCGTAGTACCCGGCTTGCGGAAAGGGAGAACAATGGCAGATTTCCACAGGTGGGGAAGAACTCTTTGTGACCAAATAAGATTGAAGAGGTGTAAGAGGACTGTAAGGGCTGACTGATGTAAATGTTGTAACAACCGAATATGAATATCGTCAGGCCCAGCTGCCGATGATTGGCAAGCTGAGAGTGTTGCCTCCAGTTCCTGAAGTGTAAAAGGCACATTATACTGTTCTTCTCGGAGAGAAGAAAAGTCCAAGGATACTAACTCCCTGGCAGACTTTGAGGAAAGAAACGAGGGGCATAGATGGAGCCCCTGGGAAATACGGACCAGATGAGTGCCAATTTCAATGGCAATGTCAAGAGGATTTGCTATATCAACACCGGCGACCTGTAGAACAGGAGCCGGATCAGGAGAGTATTTACCACTCAATTTCCTCACTTTTGTCCAGACTGCACTCATAGAGGAAGCAGAGGTGACGGTGGAAACAATCTCGCCAGCAAGTGTGTTTAGCGTCACGGATGACACGGCGAGCGACCGTACGCTTCTGCTTAAAATCATGAAGTCTCTCATCGGTTCTATTGTACTGGTACCTGCCCCATGCAGCGCGTTTCAAACATACTGCACAAGCACAAGCAGGAGACCACCAAGGCACGCACTTCTGAGAATGCCTGCCTGAGGTTTGGGGTATAGAATGAGAAGCTGTGGTTAAAACTGACGTCGAGAAGTGTAGGAGCTCATCAATGGAGGATGAAGAAGGAACCTCACTAAAAGCAGTGAGTTGCGAGTAAAGGTCCCAATTTGCCCAATCAAATTGCCAGCGAGGGCAACAAAAAGGTGGTGAATATGGAAAATGATCGCTGTCATGTAAGTCCGGTAGAACAGACCAGGCGAAGTCTAGTGCAGTGGAGGAAGAGCAGACCGATAGATTGATGCAAGAGAGTATGAGTACGAGGATCAAAATGGGTGGGAGTACCCGTATTTAAAACATGGAGGGGGTGAGAGGCGAGAAAAGCCTCCAACTAAATGCCACGTGAGTCACAATGAGATCCCCCCCAGAGGAAATGGTGGGCATTAAAATTGCCAAGTACCAGAAGTGGTGGTGGTAACGATGAAACAAGAAAGGCAAAATCTGGGATAGAAAATGCCCGAGAAAGAGAGAGATATAAAGAACATATTGTAAACCACTTATTCAAGTGGATACGGGCTGCAGTGTAATGCACCGAGGTATGGACAAATAGTTGACAGTATGGAATATCATTGCGTAGAAGAAGGGCACTTTCATTAAAGGTCCCATCTGAGAAAGGATCCGAAGAATACAATAAATTATAGCCTGAAATAGGTTGGAAAACAGTAGAGTGTAATTTTGGTTCTTGTAAGCAAACACCAACAGAGGAAAACCTGGAAAGCAACATCTGAAGCTCACCCCGATTACCCGAGGCCGCGTATATTCCACTGTAAATAGGCCATGATTGGCAACGAGGAAAATACCAGGAATCTGTAGGGAAGGGCACCTACGGACTAGAGGGGTTAGAAAAGTCTACGTGTGGTGGCATCGGAAGACGTTCAAGCAGCGATGGAACGGAGCGTTGTGAAGAATGGAGTTGTGGAGATGGAGGAGAGGGAAGAGAAGGAACAGGAGGTGGATCAGTGTCCATTGAAGGTTTAGTCTCTGCAATATATTCTAAAATAGCATCAAATGTTTCTGAATTCAAAGACGTATGGGAGACAATATTGGAGATAGAAGGAGGGTGAGTAAAGATTGGGACAGTAATGGACTGTACTAAAGGAGGGAGGGACGAAAGCGTGTTGGGAACTGGAGAAGAAGTGTGGGAGGGAACAGAAGAGGCAGAAACCTGGGAGGCGGCAGAAGAGGGAGAGACTTGGGAAGGGAGAGGGGAGGAAGGCACAGAACGAGGATGGGGGTGAACCTCCACACTTGTAATAGAGCCAGTGAGAGGGGAAGAACCAGGTACAGAGACTGGAAAGATAAAATGTGGGGGCGGAAGAAGGGAAGAAGGTGTCGTATGAGATCTTGTCGATACCGGGGCTTGTGAGTGAGAACTCGAAGATGTCAGAACAGACTGAGGTGTTGAAGTAGGGAGTCTGAGCCCAGGACAGCAAAAGAATTAGATACAGGAGTAACTATGAGAGGGGTAACAACAGAGGAGGCTGCAGAAGATGGGACCCCCAGAAGTGGGGGGACGTTTTGAAACACGAGAATACGAAACACGGGGTAGTCTCCCTTGGAGGCGGAGATGAGAAACTGCCATAGCATAAGAGAGACCCTCTGCTTCTTTGAGGCAACGGATTTCACGCTCATTAAGTAGACCTGGCAATGGCGAGAGTACGAAGGGTAAGCCTCATGACAATTAAGGCAAGAGGGAGGTTGACTGCAAGACATATTAGAATGGTTGTCAGCACCACAGACTGGGCATTTGGCTATACATCTGCAATATTTCGCTGGGTGACCAAATCGCCAGCAATTTCTACACTGTTGCTGTGTAGGGATCACCTTTCGAGCTTGTAGCCGATGTCTTGCAACATAAACAGAGGACGGGAGTTCACGGCTGTCGAAAGTTAATCAAGCCACATTGCAAGGGTATCGTCTCCGCCCGCGGGCAGGAATGACATAAGTGTCTACTTTGATGATTGGGAGATCCTGGAGTTCCAGCTGTTCAAGAATGTCATTGCCCCCATAAGCACAGTATCATCAGCAAAAATTAACTGTGTCAATTTCCATTTTGTATTTGATTCCCCATAATTTTTATGTTTTGATAATTACACTTTATATTAGTTCTTGTGATTTTATAGCCAATCTTTGTTCTGACACTAATATTAGGTAGTGAAATAGTAATCAGTCACAAACACATTGACAGGTGAACAATTTCTCCTGCCTTGGTCACATTTTACTGTATAAATATATACAAAGTATTTATAGGGCCCAGCAATGTTTTAGACATACTGTAGTATATGAAACTCCTTGAAGCACAGTATAAGACAAGTGTCACTCCACTGCTGACAGTGCAACACTCTGATACTGATGATTGTGCACTGCTCCAGTGAACCTTGGCTTTATTTGTTTTCACTGTTACACAAACATCTCTGTCTCTGCTTATTTCCATCTCTGTTTATCTCTGTCTGCATGTGTATCTGTCTTCCTATCTCTCTGTCTGTTTGTTTCTCTGTCTCAGAGAGAGAGCCGCTCATGAACCAACAGGTATTACACACAATACAGAGTCGTCACTTTTGATTCCTGATCAAGTGAAAATGCTTATTACTTGACAGTCATGCTTATTATGCCTTATGTCTACAAGCACAGTATAGAACTTTATTTGGGTTATCCTAGGTAATTTATACTATGTATACCTGTGAGATAGAGACCTGTGTACCTGTGAGATAGAGACAGAGATAGATAGATATTAAGACAAACAGTCAGAGATAGAGACAGCCAAAGTTAATCAGCCAGAAACCAACCCACCCAGCCGCTAGCTACCTGACCGGAAACCCAGCCAGCTGGCCTGAACACATATTATACATGTTCCAAAATTGTTTCCCTTTACTTAGGGCATAGGTTATAGGACATTCTGACAGGATGACACCACCAGTGGTATCAAAATTGAAAGGATGTGGCACAAATGTTACACATGGGTTATTATATAGGTTTTTGATATTCCCTCAACCACTTGTGGCCACATCCATCTCAAAGCCACTAAACTCAGGGTCACCATCACTTTCCTCTTAAATGGGGAGTGTTAATAATACATTGCATCAGTGAATCCCTGGTGTTTCCCACACCGTTTGCTCTAGCTGGCACTCAAATGAACTGGTGCTCCCACAAGGTACTAAGTGGTCTCAGATTTTTTAATGCTGCACACACCAAGTGTTAAGACCCAATCTATACTGACCAGGCATCTCAGGCCAATCATGCCAAATTTAGAGGCAGGAAAAAATACAACGTGGAGCATTAGCAGAAGAATGTAGATCTACATTTGGACAGTTAAAGGGTTAAACATACTACCTTAAGAAGCTCTGCTTCTTATGGTAGTATATTTCTAATTTAGTCCTGGCTGTTTGTTACCTTTGCAATTTTTTATATTTATTATTTCTGTATTGGTGGCAGGTTGTAAGTGACAGTCACAAATATCCTGAAAGCCTCTGTAACCAAGGTCTTTGAATTCTGATCTGTTTATGATCACATGTGTTACTCCCCCCCCCCCCAATTATTTTCTCTTTTCTTTCTCTAGGAAAAAATGCATCCATAATCATATTAGTTAACTTATTTCTCATGAGACAGAAGTAAAAGTAAAATAGATGATCCTTACTATCCATAAACTCAAACTCAATAATATAATTAAAAATAGGTAATTACAAAATAAAGCTTAAGAAGATCAACAGATACATCCCACTAAGGTAGTTTCTATTATAAGGGTTTTGAACTGAGGTATGAGGACAAAATGAAAGACCTAAATCTCACAACTGAGAAATGAAGACCAACATACCAGTACCTAATAGCACTGACAAGGTGGATAAAACTGAGCATCTGAAAAGAGCAAGATAATGATGAGCGAGTACAATTAAACACCTAAATGAACCAAAGAAAACTAATTCATAATATAATGATGATGAATAAACAAAGTACTAATGAAATAGTGGAAGAAGCCTCTATAAATACACACACGAGATCAAATTAAAATACAATAAAACCCATAAAGTTTGGGGTGCATTGTGAAATTTCATACATATTGAAATTAGCAATTCTCATTAGATTTACATCACTTACCTCATTAGCAGTATTAAATGTGCCAACTATTTTAAAATAAACTATGGCTCTTGATGGGAAGGTTAAAGTTTGCCATGATCTGCAAGCTTCACGTGTTTTATCAACAATCAGCTCCCAATCTCTATTATTAACTGAGGCTTCGATGTAGTAACTATAAGAGCGATCATCACAGTCCCACAGCAGAAGCCTGGAACAAAACAGCAGATATTGTTTAGAAGTGAAGAAGAACAGGATGTGAGTGTAGGGGAGGTGCGTGAGGCATTACGTAGAATGAAAGGGGGTAAAGCAGCTGGAGCTGATGGGATCATGACAGAAATGTTAACCCTTTCAGGGTTTCGGACGTACTAGTACGGCTTATGCACCAGGGTTTTTGACATACTAGTACGCCTAAATTCTAGCTCCTTCAAATCTAGTGAGAGAAAGCTGGTAGGCCTACATATGAAAGAATGGGTCTATGTGGTCAGTGTGCGCAGTATAAAAAAAATACTGCAGCACACAGTGCGTAATGAGAAAAAAAAATCTTTGACCGTGTTTTTGGATTAAAACAGCGACTTGGCACTGTATTTTCGTATGGTATTTATGGTTGTATTCTAGTTTTCCTGGTCTCATTTTATAGAATGGAAGACATATTACAGAAATTGAGATGATCTTGACTGGTTTTACAATGAAAAGTACCTTGAAATTGAGCTCAAAGTAGAAGAAATGTTCAATTTTTACCAAAGTTCAAAAGTAAACAAATCATGCTAAGCGTCCACTACACGTCAACTGGCGAGTCTAATATTCTTTCACAAGTGCGCTGATATTATTTATACCATTTCTACACTAATGCAGTAGTCTGTATAACAGCAAATCATCTATTTTTTGTGAGAATAAAAATTCAAAATGGAAAGCAAAAGAATGTAAGAGAGACGTGGGGACATGACTAATGAACAGAGGAAATGTTATTTTAGTGCCAGGAATGTCTTTCTTGTTTATTCTAGACCCTATTTGGAAATTGGCATCTTTTGAAATTTGTGTGAAATTGGCAAAATTGCTAAATTCTGACAACTTTTTTGGATAGTTGAAATCGGTAAATGGGTGGTTTCTTATACTCATTCGATAGAAAAAAATGGAGTTGTAGCGAAATAGTTATGATTTTTGTCGACTAATACACTGGAATTGGCCGAAAATAGGGCTCAAATTGGGCAAAATCGCCGCTGCATAAACATCGTCGAGACCGCTAACTTCGCGAGAGCATAATTCCATAAATTTTCATCAAATTTCATACTTTTAGCGTCATTATGATCGGGAAAAGATTCTCTATCTTTTCAAACGAAAAAAATTATTTTTTTTCTTTTTTTGAAATTTTGGCGACCCTGAGAACAAGTCTGGGAGAGCCTGGGGACCCTGAAAGAGTTAAAAGCAGGGGGGGATATAGTGTTGGAGTGGTTGGTATTTTTGTTTAATAAATGTATGAAAAAGGGGAAGGTACCTAGGGATTAGCAGAGCATGTATAGTCCTTTTATATAAAGGGAAGGGGGACAAAAGAGATTGTAAACATTATAGAAGAATAAGTTTACTGAGTATACCAGGGAAAAGTGTACGGTAGGGTATAATTGAAAGAATTAGAGGTAAGACAGAATGTAGGATGGCGGATGAGCAAGGAGGCTTCAGAGTGGGTAGGGGATGTGTAGATCAAGTGTTTACATTGAAGCATATTATGTGAACAGTATTTAGATAAAGGTAGGGAAGTTTTCATTGCATTTATAGATTTAGAAAAGGCATATGATAGAATGGATAGGGAAGCAATGTGGTAGATGTTGCAAGTATATGGAATAGGTTGTAAGTTACTAAATGCTGAAGAGTTTTTATGAGGATAGTGAAGCTCAGGTTAGGGTGTGTAGAAGAGAGGGAGACTACTTCCCGGTAAAAGTAGGTCTTAGACAGGGTTGTGTAATGTCACCATGATTGTTTAATATATTTATAGATGGGGTTGTGCGAGGGAAAAGTTAAATAGATAGGAGTAGCGAGGGAGTATATAGTAACAATAGTTTCATTGCCGGCTACTTGTTAAGGTAGGGTAAGTCAAGCTCCCGCTATTCCCGCCTTTTTTCCCCCATCCCGAAAGTGATAGTTTGACTGCCGGCTGCTTGTTAAGGTAGGGTCAGTCTAGCTCCCGCTATACCTTCCCATCCTTCTCCCCCCCCCCCCCCGAAAGGTGACGTGTGGGGTTCCGGTCCAAACAGTAATCACTAGACTCACAGCTCCCAGCACTACTGTAAGTACATGCCTGCCTTGTATTCTAGTGGATTTATTGGTTAAAAGCTTCACTTTTGACCAATAATAAACTTAGTCCTTTCAGTCTTGCTCTAAGTTGACTGTTGTAATAATCACCACATCTTTTAGGTATTGTACTTATCATGGAGAGTGATTTCTTAAGCAGTGGGTAACCTGTCTATCTTTCCAGCTTGGATGACAGAGAGGGTCACCTGCCAATCAATGAGAACTGATTGAGATGGACTAACGTCCTGAGACTTCCCCTTTTTGGATTTAATTACCTGTGCACCTGTATGAAATTGCAAGACGTAACCCCTCATCATTGCAGCGGTAAAGAACCTGCTTCCTGTCATCGGGATAGAATACTCACGGCTATCCTGTGAAGAACGAACCGGTGGGTTGTAACCAACACCTGCGACCCCCCCCCCATCATCAGCAACGGCTACGATTTCAACAACACGCAGTGTCACCAACACCAGACACCCAAGTTTTATATTAGCATTGAATTCAGTTATCATTTATATTTTTTCATTTTCTTTAATGTAGGATTAATATTTCATATTTAAGTGTTTTATATTTTATATTTTCTAAATAATAAAGTGTTTATGTTTGTCAGTTTTTATTCTTTTTCTATACATTAATTTTCCTGAGGAGGAGCCAGCTTTGGTAATACGGTCTGAAGTTGTTACAGGGCTGAGTAAACCTTCACAAGTGGCGACCTTGCCAGGATCAATCTACTGAATCAAGATTCAATTCATCTCGAATCTACCATTGGAACTTCAACGCCGCATACCACAGACGGTTACCACCACCATGAGTAATCATTCTCTATGGTAGGACTACAGTACAGGAATTTAAAAGATTTGGTGATTGTTATAGTCTCAATTTATTGTAAGTTAAGTCAAGGCAGGAATACTAGTTAATTCTGTCATCTATTTTTGTGTGAGCTTGAAACACTTTGGAGGATTAGACTCTAGGGACCAGAGATTTTCCAGTGACAATTTGTTTCATTGAGCTCTTTATTATATCAAGGGAACTGTCATAGGACACTCTTGATTTGTTAATGAGAAGATTGGATGGTCAAGTGACCCCCATTCTACTTACTCTTTGCTCGGGAGCCGGCACAGAACCCTTCGTTTTAATTAATACATATTGTTTAATTGAAGCAGGGATCGAGCCCTCTGGTTTATTTACAGTTTGAGCGGAGCAGGAATTGAGCCCTCTGTTTTCTTTAATACCGGTTTCATTTCCCCTGATAGTTTAAGTTATTCTTGCAAGTATGGAGGAATACCAGTTTTGGATGAACGCTGGAAGTAAGTTAGAAATAACAGGGAAAAATTTAGAATCTTTCATTAGTGCTAAGATCCAGGAAAGACTTGAAAGAGAGAGAATTGAGAGAGAAGAGAGACAGAAAGGGAAAGAGAAGAGAAAAAGGAGAGAGAGAGAATTGAGAGAGAAATCCAAGAAAGACAGTTAGAAAGAGAAAGTGAAGACAAAAAGGAGCGTGATAGACTTGATCGTGAAGAAAGAGCTAGAGTACGTGAGGAACAGGCTAAAATACGTGAGGAACAGGCTAAAATAAGAGAACTTGAGGGAAAGAGCAAAGGAAAAGAGAAGTTGAGGAAAAGCTAGAGAACGTGAGGAAAAAGCTAGAGAACTTGAGTTAATAGAGAGAGAAAAGGATCGCGAGCTCAAAAAAGCTCGCCTTGAATTAGAGAATAAAAAGTTAACTCTTACACAACAACAATTAGAGGAAGGAGTAATTGAACATCATGCAGCTAGTGACATATTCCAACACCTAAAATTTTCTTCCCTTCACAGAGGGGGAAAGACATTACTTTATACATTATCAGGTTTGAAAATACCGCTACCCTCTGTGAATGGCCTGCTGACACCCGGGCTACCAGGTTAGGGAAAGTTATTTTCTGGTACAGCCTTGAATATCTATGCAACTTTGTCGCAGGAATCCTATGTAATTATAACTTACTGAAGAAGGCAATCCCTTAAAGCATATCAAAAAACCACTATTCTTACAGGGAAAAATTTCAGGTATGCCACCTTACAGCCGGGCCAGAACTTTCAGCAGTTACAGGTAGCACTCTTTCGTTTGTTCGACTTTTGGATAGAGAGTTCAGGAATTGATCACAGTTATGAATCTCTTATACTTCATGGTTGCTGACCAGTTCCTGACACTCTTCCTCACCGATACGAACATTCATCAGAGAACGTTAACCTGATTAAAGCTGGGGGAAGTTGCTGAGGCTGCTGACCTGTATGCTGAGGCTCACAATTCCTATAAAGACCTAAAGGGATCGAACCCTACGGGCAAGGGTTCATCAGACCTTAAGAAATCAAAGCCTCTAGTGGAAAGTAAAATGACTTCTTTTATTCCTGTTTGTCATTTGTGTTGGGGTTAAGGGACATAAACGTCCAGATTTTCCTTCTAAGAAGGTCCAAAAAGTTGGAAGATGTTTTAAAGACTGTAATGACCAAGCACCCTTCTGTTCAGGAACAGTTAATGGACTTAATGTATCTACCATTTTACGAGACACTGGATGACATGTATAGTCATTTCTGAAAGCTGTTCCCTAACCTTAAAGAAACTCATTCCTCTGCTATACTTTCAGACTACTTGGGCCCTACGGACACTTTTCCCACCCTTCGCTGTTACATTAGGTCTAAATGGTTCACGGTTGGTCTGAAGCCGTACTAGCTCCCCTCACTTCTTTCTCCCTACTAATAGGTAAAGTAAAAGGTGCCATTCTTCCTTCTGAGGTTGACCTTTCATCACCAAAGGTGGACATAGGCTTTTCAGATCCTCTTCCTGTAAGTCAAGAAGCCCCTCGAAAGTTCAGAAAGAGACAATGTCTGGTGAGATTCATGTGGGATAAAAACCAGTGATAATACTCTCCCAAAGCGAGGTAGTAGGAT